TTTTTTTTTTTTTTTTTTTTTTGGGACGGAGTTTCGCTCTTGTTGCCCAGGCTGGAGTGCAATGGCATGATTTCGGCTCACCACAAACTCTGCCTCCTGGGTTCAAGTGATTCTCCTGCCTCAGCCTCCCGAGTATCTGGGATTACAGGCATGCGCCACCACGCCCAGCTAATTTTGTATTTTTACTAGAGACGGGGTTTCTCCATTTGGTCAGGCTGGTCTCGAACTCCTGACCTCAGGTGATCTCCCCACCTTGGCCTCTCCAAAGTGCTGGCATTATAGGCATGAGCTACTGCACCCGGCCTTTTTTTTTTTTTTTTCTACTTCCTGGGTTCAAGCGATTCTTCAGCCTCAGCCGCCTGAGTAGCTGGGACGACAGGTACACGCCACCAAGTCCAGCTTATTTTTCTATTTTTAGTAGAGACAGGGGTTTCACCATGTTTGGCCAAGCTGGTCTTGAACTCCTGAGCTCACGTGATCTGCCCACCTCGGCCTCCCAGACTGCTGGGACTACAGGTGTGACCCACCACACTGGGCACCAGATGACCTCTTACTGTGAGTCATGGTCATAGAGTTTGGAAGCCGCTGGTAGGCGGCCCCCAGCTTCACATACTGATTTTCAGACCATGACCAGTTCGCAAATTCCACCACTTTCGAAAGCAAACATTGCTGGCCTCCGGGTGGAGCTGCCTTAGCAGCAATCCGCCGCCGGGTGGCGCGCGTGCCCCGCCGAGAGTGGATTTTGCTTCTTCCCAGACTCAGACCGTCCAAGTCGGTGATTTCCTTCTAGTCAGGTCTCCTCCTAAGGATCCGCTTTATGGGGACTAGATGCCCTGACTTCGAATACAGTTCAAGGAGCAGAGCCCTCTAGGGGGTTTCAGGTGGCTAAGAAGGGAAGTGGCTCTCCTAAGACTATTCGACCACAGTGCTCATTAAATGCCTCCTGCGCAAGACGAGGTCCCTGCCTCCCAGAATATGTATCCCAGGAGGGAGGATGCACAAGAACCCCATTGGCAACCCTGTCAGTGCAGGGAGGCTCCAGCCTGGGGCTGAAAAGCCGAGTCTCTGGTGCCTGACAGCACGGGGTAGAGCCTTGCTGGGCCACCTGCAGGCTGTGTGACCTTGGGAATCGTGCTTGGCCTCTCTGTGCCTCGGTTTCCTCCACTATAAAATGGCAGTGATAACAGCAGCCTCTTCATTGAGTTGTGGGCATTGCATGACTAAATATGTGTAAAGCACTCAGAAGGGATGGGGCATGTTTGTTGAACCCATTGTTAAAAATTCCCATTTTAGACCGGGCGCGGTGGCTCAAGCCTGCAATCCCAGCACTTTGGGAGGCCGAGGCGGGTGGATCACGAGGTCAAGAGATGGAGACCATCCTGGTCAACATGGTGAAACCCGATCTCTACTAAAAATACAAAAAATTAGCTGGGCATGGTGGTGCGTGCCTGTAATCCCAGCTACTCAGGAGGCTGAGGCAGGACAATTGCCTGAACCCAGGAGGCGGAGGTTGCGGTGAGCCGAGATCGCGCCATTGCACTCCAGCCTGGGTAACATGGGTGAAACTCCGTCTCAAAAAAAAAAAAAAAAAAAAAAAAAATTCCCATTTTAGACTGGGCGTGGTGCCTCGCGCCTATAATCCCAGCACTTTGGGAGGCCGAGGTGGGTGGATCACTTGAGGCCAGGAGTTCAAGACCAGCCTGGTCAATGTGGTGAAACCCCATCTCTATTAAAATTACAAGAATTAGCTGGGTGTGGTGGCGCGTACCCGTAAGCCCAGCTACTTGAGAGGCTGAGGCAGAAGAATCACTTGAACCCAGGAGGTGGAGGTTGCAGTGAGCTGAGATCGCACCACTGCACTCCAACCTAGGTGACAGAATGAGACTCTGTCTCAAAAAAAAAAAAAGACATACAAATGGCCAACAGGAATGTGAAAACACAAATAAAAGCCACAGTGAGATGTCATCT